TTTCATGATTGCTTTTTCTATTTCTATAAGGAACGACGTTGGGATTTTAATTGGAATCACAATGAATCTGTATAGCACTTTGTGTAGTATCGCCATTTTGACAATATTAATTTTGCCTATCCAAGAGCACAAGACTCCCGAAACATAAGAAATAAAATCAAGAATTAATAAATGGGATGGATTCAAACTAAAAAGGTTCTTCTCAGCAAAAGAAACAATCAATGAAGGTGAAGAGAAAGCCTATATTTTGGGAGCAAATTTTTGCCACATGCACATCAGATAGAGCACTAATCTCTAGGGTACATAAAATACTCAAAAAACTTAACAACAAAAAAAAACAAAAAACAAAAAAAAAAACCCCAAATAACCCAATCAGTAAATGAGCTAAAGAGCTGAACACACACTTCTGGCAATTAGAGAAATGCAAATCAAAACTACTGTAAGATTTCATCTCACACCAGTCAGAATGGCAGTTATCAAGAATACAAACAACAATAAGTGTTGGTGAGGATGTGCAGGGGAAAGCATACTCTCATACATTGCTGGTGACACTGCAAATTGGTGCAAGCAATCTGGAAAGCAGTTTGGAGATTCCTTAGAAAACTTGGAATGGAACCCCATTTGACCCAGCTATCTCATTCCTTGGTCTATACCCAAAGGACTTAAAATCAGCATACTATAGTAACACAGTCACATCAATGTTTATAGCAGCTTAACTCATAATAGCTAAACTGTGGAAGAAACCTAGATGCCCTTTAATAGATGAATGGATAAAGAAACTGTGTTATATATACAAAATTACTCAGCATTAAGAGAGAATAACATTATGGCATTTGCAGGTAAATGGATAGAGTTGGAGAATATCATGCTAAGTGAAGTAAGCCAATCCCCAAAAAAGAAAGGCCAAAAGTTCTCTCTGGAAAGTGGATGCTGATCCATAATGGGGAGGGGCATGGGAAAAATGGAGGCACTTTGGGCAAAGGGGAGGGAGGGGAGGTGAAGCAGAATGGGGGCAGGAAAGATGGTGGAATGAGATGGACATGATTACCCTAGGTACATGTATGACTGCACATATGGTAAGATGCTACATTGTGTACAGAGAAATGAAAAGTTATGTGGCAAGTGTGTACAATGAATCAAAATTCATTCTGTTGTTATATATACCTAATTAGAATAAGTAATTTTTTAAAAATGTGGAGAATGTCAAGAACATGATGTATAAAAAAATAGAAATATCAATAAAGTGATAGAAAACCCAAAAGAAACTAGAATAGATGAAAACTGAAATAAACAACTGAAATTAAAAAAGACTTAAAAGCAGTTTTAAACAGGCAGAATTCGGTAAATCACCATCAAGGGGTCTGACATACACATTGCAATACTCCAAAAAAGGAGAGTGAGAGAAATAAGGGAAGAGAGTATTTAAAGAAATAAGGGCTGGAAACTTTCCAAACTTGATGAAAATACATGAATATAGACATTCAAGAAGTTCAATGGGTTTTCCATGCAGAATAACAAACTGTTGAAAGCCCAAAGAGAAAACTGTGAAAGTATAAAAAAATATTTCATTATATACAAGGGATCCTTAATAAAAATAATTAGGTTTCTCACCAGAAATTTGGGAAGCTAGAAGGCAGTAGACTGATAGATATCAATCAAGAATCCTGTAACTGGGGCTGAGGCTATAGCTCAGTGATGGAGCACTTGCCTAGTACGAGTGAGACACTGTGCTTAATTAATCCTGAGCACCACATAAAAATAGATATTGTGACCATCTAAAATGAATATTTTATATATATATATATATATATATATATATATATATATATATATATATATAAATGCTGTATCTAACAAAATTGTGCTTCCAAAGTGAGGATTAAGACATTCCCAGATATACAAAACCTGGAAGAGTTTGTTACCACTATTCTGCTCTGTGAAAGTAAGTCTAGTTGGTCAAAATGGAAGGATGTTAGACAGTAATTTGTAGACATATGAAGAAATAAAGATCTCAGAAAAGGCATACACAGGAGCAATTTATGGAAACTAGTATCACTGTTGACAATGGTACATGACTCCATTTTTTGTTTTCTACATGATTTAAGATATTAATACACTTAAACAGCTATTGGTATAAAAGCTAGTACTATTGTACTTCTAGCTTGTAATTTCACAGTTTTGCTTTTTACATAATTTAAGAGACTGATGTATTTAAATTATGAGTTTATGTTTCTGAACATATAATGTACAAAGATATAACTTTGTGACATCTACAACTGAAAGTGAGAAAAAAGTTTTAAAGGGGCAGAGTTTTTGCATGTTAAGTTAAACTAGTATAAATTCAAATTAGAATTTCTAATTTTAGAATTTTAAATGTAATTCCTAAGGTAACCACAAAGAAAATAACTAAAATATTGGAAATACGTTTGACTGCATGCATTTCAGACAAAGGATATTCAACCTATATTAGAAATGAGGGCCAGGCATGGTGGTGCATGCCTGTAATCCCAGCAGCTCCAGAGGCTGAGGCCTCAGGAGGATCATGAGTTCAAAGCCAGTCTCAGCAAAAACAAGGTGCTAAGCAACTCAGTGAGACCCTGTCTCTAAATAAAATACAAAATAGTGGTCAAGTGCCCCTGAGTTGAATCCTTAGTGGAGGAGGAGGA